CACTGCTGCTAGTCATGGCTTATGTTTCACACATTTCAAATGATTTTTAATGTCCGAACGCTCTCCACGAGTTACCGAAAATTCTGAAAAGCAAAGTTTACATTTCACTTTGTCAATACGATCACAAACTTTTTCAAAACGGATAATCCTTTTTTAATTCATCAGTAAACAATTTTTTTTTTTTGGCATTTTGGAGATTAAATTAATTCAATGTAAAGTACAAAATAATTGCAAATACTGACTAGCAATTTCAATTCGACTAACAAGTAAGTTAGAACATGCGCAACAATGACGTGGCCAGAATATGTCTGTCTTGCCAACTATAATTGAAACAAAATATCTAAAAAATGAAATAAAAACATCTGGATCTCATAAGCTACATGCTATTATAAATTCTGAAAAAATATCTGGATGAGAAAATAAAACATCCAAATTCATTAGGTCACATGGTATAAATTTGGGGCAACATCTAGACAACATTAAAAGTACTTAGATCTAGTGAGTGTAGCGGAAGAGACAGTTGCCAAATCGCCATTTTAATGGAGGCTGCACTATTTTTACTTCTTGTATATTCGGCACTTTAAAATTTTACCAGATAACCGGGACGTCTGGTAAGCCTAGTTTTAACTATTAAACTCGTTATATTTTATAGTTGCTTGTTTATTTCGACTATTTGATAACAGCTCTTCGCTAATTCCCCAGCCTCCACTAAGTGAAAGCAGGTGTAGAGCACGTGGGTAGAGAGAATTGAGAGGAGTGTGAACTGGAAGCGAATTCCTTTGCTGGTTCTGTAGAAACAAGTTCACTGGTTTTAGACCTTTGCCGGTTAGAGGGACGGATGGCCGAACGGTTAAAGGTTGCAACTATCCAGTCTGGGGATCCGGATTCGAATCGGGAAGAGTCGAAAAATCCCCGGGAATTTTTCTGGGGTGTTCTATCTAGATACATTGGGCTCCATTCCTCGCCACCCGGCCGAACCCATAATGGGATTGTCTAAAAATGGTCATCTTAGTGCCCACAGGGCCGAGAGAGTTACAAAAAAAATGTGCTTCCCCTAGTTTCGAACCCATGCTTCGCTACTGAAAGCTAGAATACTAAATGACTAAAAAAGAAATAAATTTCTAATTAAAATAAATTTGATATATTTAGATGAAATATTGGACAATATTGCACAACGGTTGGAAACGTGATAACGTGCCAGTTCTGATGGAAATTGGTCGCCGTATTAGACAAGTGTATAATGGAGGTAAGAATAACATGTTCTAAACCAGTTTTTCTACTGTCACGGATGAAGCCAGCCAGACAGTGACCACATCCAGCGGCTCCCGCAGACTGAAAAGGGGCACAAGCTAAAAAAAGGCATATTATGCAAGGTGCTTCAATCTCTATGATTCAACGTCAGATTAGCGCCCTGAGTTAACTTGGCTTTGTAAACAAGGAATGAGATTTTGGTCAACATACGACGAAGTCTCGTAGGTCAATGGACAAACAAATTTCAATGTAAATAGTAAATTTTCAATAAAAATATATATAAAATTTTTCCTTAGAAGTCTATTAAGTTTGATAATTTAATGTTAACCATAAAAAGTAAATTTTAGGTACTGATAGCATCCACAAATAAATTAAATTTTGTTAACATCAGAAAAGAACTTGTTTAATTTTTTTATCTATAAATTAAATATAGTATATAATAGGTGGATTAATGGACAAATATCGTTCATTAGTTAATTTTATATTTGCAGAATGGGTTAGAAATCAGTATGTTTTTGTTGTTGTTTGCGGCCCTCTTGGGGATTAGGAAAAGGATAAACGAGACGAAAAGAGGGGGACACGTGTCCCAAGTGCCCCAATGTACCAGGCGCTACTGACCACATCCAAAACATTATAAGGCATGTTGAATCAATAATGTCAAAACTTTAAATTACGTGATCATTACATTGATTTGAATTATACAGTAATAGTTTATAGCATACTAGTAGCTCGGGACGCCCCCTAGTGGGCGTTCTTTACAAATTTCCATGAGGCACGGTTCCTTTGACTTTTTTCTTCCTATCAATATGCTCTACAGCTCTGTTAAAATCCGAATGGTAAGATTTACCCTCCGAATGAAGAGGTAGCGACCCCCCCAAACCGTAGACCCCTGTACTAACAATAAAGTCAAAGGAACCATACCCCCCTACTCGCGACCCTTCAAGAGATACAAGCCCCTGAAATAATAAATTCCTATTACAAATATACTGAATTATTTATATTGTTATATTGACCAAATAATTTATTGGCCAAGTGAATAATAAAAATTTATACTGTTAATTTAAATAAGAATTAAAATTGTTAATTTTAATGTTTGAAATATGACACACGATAGGGGCGCCTCTAGTGTCCGTTATCAAACTGTTACGGGACAGACGGACCGACGGATACCCGTTGAATGGGTTATATATATAGATAAGCATATTATAAAGTATTATAGTAGTATTACTAATTATATGTATTTGTAGCATTATAAACTATTATATACTAAATTTATTTATGGGTGTTATCAGTATCTAAAATTTATTTTAGGTTTTGTGGTTAACATCAAATTTTCAAACCATATAAAACTAGCTTACTGTCGCGCATTGCTGCGATCTCAGAAAGGAAATTCAAGGAAACTCGTTATGATAAAATTCAATTTACATTTTATCATTTTTATTGAAACTTATTATTATTATTCATTTTCATCGGGAAAACATTTCAAAGTGTCGTTTCAATTCTATTTATTTATTGGAGTGTTTGTGGATACACGATATTTTTTGTTTTTCCGTCTGGTGCGTACACGAATAAATCAGAAGGTTTTCCGACGCGTGAGCCGGCCACATACAGTTGTCCATGCGAGAAGCACGGATTCTCCAAATTTAGTCCATACACTCGCAGCGATTGTCAGAAGTGCTATATTCCCCATTTATATATATATATATTTTTTAATCCTTTATAATTTTAATTATTTAATTACTCCTTCCCTCTCTTCCTTGGCATGTTGTGAAATTTCTGATAGTTGGATAATAAACCGTTTTATTGTAATTTGTCTTTTTAAATTATTTTGAGTCGATATTAACATTTGGAAATGGGGGATATCTAGATCGGTAAAATACGCGAATTTCTTCCTACAACTTCGGTTGTTGTTCGGGGTACGATTAAGGTTTTAACGAAGTTCGAGCGAATACGTAATTAGCAAAAAAAAAGTTGAAATAAAGTGATTAAACAAAAATTATTACAAATATCGTAAATAACAGTTCACAAATGCATATATAGAGATAATTTTTGGAGGGGGATGGTCTTCACAATTTGAAATTGATCGATCTCACGATGAAATGCTCGTATACACTCGCGCCATCTATCGTAGGATAAATGTACTATGCCAGAAACCTTTGCGGGAGTGTATTAAAAAACTTCCCAAAGTTTCATGGCAATCGAATAAACGGTGTGGTAATGTATGAAGGACATACAGACAGACAGACAGACATTTATTTATATATATATAGGTTAGAGAATTTCCAAGTGATGCGCTAATGCACACAGACGTGCCGTGTCGGAATAAGTATCATTAGCGTGTGGTAAAATATGTAGATAAGCTAAAATTTTTATGCTTATTTTAATGTGAGTGAGAAATGTATTTCCATTTGTTACTAATGTAGCGGATGAATATTTGCACCCTTTGCATCGCGATTATTTTTTATTGGCGATTTTTTGGTAAGAGCGAGAACGTTGATCTAAAAATCCGAGTTAAAAGAACAAAATGTTGTATTAAAAATAAAGCATTATTGAAAACAATTTCAATATTTTACATTAAAAAATAATGTTTTTATTACATTTCATTTTTATATGCGAAACTTTTTAAATAACAGATATATTGATAATTACACTGGTTATATTTATTATCCATATTGATATTTACTTGGCAATTGTCAAATGAAAATGAAAGTTTTCAATAAAAAAATGAAATGTAATAATTTTTTGTTGTTTAATTTTCTCAATAATTGATACTGATTTTTATAGCATAAATTTATCATTAATATGTCGCCTTTATTGTAAGTTCTATAAATATAACTTGTATTAAAAAGGGTTAAAGAACACTCTATTATGTAACTTATCCATTATATCATTATATAATTTAGAAACCCAAAATTCCCTAAACGATTCTATATGTGTTTATTAGATAAAGCTTATTTTAACTATTCTTATTATAAATTAGCCTATATTATTACTCGATTTACAGAATTATAATTTATTATTTTGATATGGGTTATATGTAAAGAATAGATAAATGAGTAATATTAAATTTGGAAACTGTCAATCAACACACCAAACAATTGAGTGATTTTACCTTATCTTTAGGCTACACGAAAATCTAATTAATACAAAAACTACCGATCATTTTTAAGCACTTTGATTTATCTTCCGTCTAGTTAATGAAAATTTTATTATTTTTTCGAATCGAGATTATTAACAAGCGACTGGAGTTTTTATTTAATAAAGTTGTCCGAGTGATCTCGTTAGCAGCGGCATGCTTTATTCAAAAAGTGCATAAAAGAAAATCCGAAATGTCCATTGTATTGAGGTGAACTACACGATTATAACATTACTTCAGTCGATAACAAAACATCTTAACTATTTTGAAAAGTTTATTCCGAGATTGGAAGACTCCAAAAACTATAAAAGTAAATTAGTTTTGAAAAATGTAGTAGAAGAAGAATTTATAATAATTTGATTTAATAATAATCAAGAGAATTTAATGCAGTTATTTATATATTAGAATTAAATGTTTAAAAAATATGTTTAATTTTAATATATTTGAATTGTATTATTGCAAAAGATAATCTAAAACAATTTACATAGAATAATTACAACTAAATAATTAATTGCATTCATTCTGTTTCACTAACTGAATTTCTTATTTATTTTTAAGGTTTACACGAAAATATATACATAATATTTTTAAAAATAAATAATTATACAATTAATTATACCGAATATCTATCTACTAAGACATTTTTCTGTCCTCTACTCGTTAATTCTAGAGAATTTCTCGTTCGTGATCGACGAATACTCGTCGTATAAGTACTAAATTCTAACGTTTCCGTCCTACTCCTCGGGACCATACAATAACCGCAAAAAATAAACAGAATAGAGTAAGAAGAACAGGCCCGAATTAAAACTTTTCGAAAATTTGATGACATAAAACCGTAAACGAAAGGATTGAGCGCAGAATGGACGAAAGACAATAAATTACAAGCGATTCTGGCGCTGTATGCCGAGTGATTGAAGTTCGTTAGTCCTTTTTTAATGATCACATTCATCATTAGCCTAGGACCCCAACAGATCATAAACAGGACGATGACAAATATTAACATTTTGATAACCTGTAAAAGATACAAAATTTGATTTATAATGTCGTATATAAACTGCAAAAAATGAATTTGATTACACTAACTTGTTGTCTGGCTTTCCTCACTTCCACTTGTTGTCGATGTAGACTGCACACTTTAATAGATATAGCTCGTTGCCTAGCAGAATTTAATCTTGTAGTAGGCTGATTATGCCGGCAGCAGGCATTCAAACGATTTTCACTGATTAACAAAATCGATTTATTATACAATAATTTTATATATAAAAGTAAAAAAAAAATGGAAATGTTCTTACTTGTTTGCCGTTCTAGTTATATTTATTATAGTTTTTGTGCTGCTCCATAATTCGCGTATGACCCAGAAATAGAATACAGACATAAAAAAGGCGGGCAATGCAAAAATTGATACCAATTGATACACTGCTACGCAAAATGCTAAATAATCATCGGAATCGAAACAGTAATAAGCAGTTATGCTTGTGTAATTGTTGTAATAAGTTATAGGATATATTTTCTGAAAAATAAAGAATTTACATAGTAAAAGAAATTATTTATAAAGCATACAATAATATATTTTATTAATTTATATTTAAAAATATCTTTAAAATTCTTACTTTAGTGAGTAGGACTGGAATAGAAAATAACACAGCCAACAACCAAACAATAAATAAACCTTTTCTGCACGTACTAAGAGTGCAAAGACGTCGAGCTCTCATCGGGAAAATGATAACTATAAATCTAAAAAATTCAGAAATAATAAAAATATTAATATTTAAAATATAGATTTAATTACCGACTTTTAAAAACTATAAAACTGTCCATAAAACATGTTTAAAACGAAAAAGATTTTTTTTTTCCTTCGACTTGCCTTTCAAAGCTCACTGCTGTTAAATTAAGTACAGCTGCCATACTAGATAACATTTCAAAATAGGAGCTGACTTTACATATTCCACCATCTGTGTCCCACGTTATGACAAAATATTCAATAGTTTCTAACGGGAAATAAATGAGAAGTAGGAGTAAGTCGGATACCGCCAGACTCACTAAAAATGTGCAAGTATAGGATCTCGAAGGTCTCATCCCGGTCCAGGTAGCTATCACGATACTATTTCCGGTTACTCCAACGATGAAAGTTATCATATGAGTTAAAATAATGGAGAGAAAAGAAGAGTTTATCGACAAGGGATTCAACATATCTTCTGGATTGTCCATATAAATATAACTCTGGTCTTTGCATGGAAAATTTCCCGGTGTACAGGTTCTATTAGACATCTGAATAAAATATAAAAATAAATTTTATATTAAATATTAGGTTTTAAATCTCTCACCTTTTCGCACATTGTGTATTTGAATTAATGATATTGATAAAAAGAAAAATGTTAATAAATTCAATTAGAAAAAAACTATAATTAAAGTAATATAATGCAGGAAGAATTTTTGAAGAAAGAATATTTACTTCTACCGTTTAATTTTATTTTCCGATATCATTATCGAAGATAAATATTGTATACTTTTATCGAGCGTTACTTAACTCGATGCTCACTTCCTTAATCTTTATTGATTTTAAAACTTGGATAGTTTGTGCTTTAATCGAAGTTCTGTCATTAATCTGAAGTTGTCTGTTTAAAGCCTGTGTTACCCTCTTTTGTGTAAAGTGAAACTTAAAAGGATATTTCAATTGAAAATGTCGTTACCTCTTTTTAAGTCTTTTTTTCACTTAAACAGCCAAATCGATTTTTTGAATCGAAGTGGTTCCAACATTGATGAACAGAGAAGCTCGATACAGAGAAAATAAAATTTGTTTTTTAAATACCTTTTTTTTAATTTTAATATAAATCTGTGCAAAATCTTAAATCTTAATTATACAAAATCTTTCTACTCATTATACGTAATTAATTTTAATTTTAATTCGATTGTTAGACGTCATTAATTCGATTCGATGAGAAAATATAGATTATTACTTTAAACTAAAAGATCTACTTAAAATACATTATATTTTGCATATAATAAAATGAATAATAATCATAAAAATACTATTTTTCTTCTCTGAAAATATTTTATGTCCTTTCATCATCCTAAGATATTGTTTTTCGAAAATACCTTTTTATCTGATAGATACTCATATAAACCGAGATTTAGTTTTCAAACCCACACTGATATATAGAGGTACTAGGATATAAGGTCATTTCAATAACATATTCGATATTGTTAGCATATAAAACTTATATTTTTCGAAAAAGTAAATTATGAATAATGCATTATCGCGTTCTTAGTTGAACCAAAATATCTTCTACTGACTTGCTACAGATTTACTTTATGATCTAGACTGAATAAATTGTGTCAATATTGTAAACATTGTTTATTTTTAAAATTTCTAATTCTAAATAAGTAGCCTAAGAAAAAATTTTTATTAATATTTACTATTTTCAGAGGCGTAGAGGTCGAGAGATGCCCAAACCCTTATCTTTTTTGAGATCTTCATATACTAAAAAATGATAATATTTTAAAAAACGTGTATTATATTTGTAAATAATAAAATTCTATTTAAATGTGGAATTCTTGCGTATTAAGAAAATGTGTGTTTCTTAATACGCAAGAATTGCAACGAAATGAATAATTTATGAAAATATTTCTGAAGCATCATAAATGTCAAACTTGATCAAAATGGCACTGCTGACCCCAGCGATAGATTCTAATTATCTTTAATAAGCGAGTTACTGATTTAATTTTGATATGGGATGCAAAACTGCTCCATTGCCGAATATGTTTTGTATTATTTTGTACTTAAAAAGTCTTCTTCCTTAGAATTATCTTAGTTCTGACTTCTTTATTGTAATTTACACGAAAAGAAACATTTTAAATATTCATAGATTGCTAGTAATTTCTGAAAAATGTATAATGAAATAATCCAATATATCTCTAAACTATCACAAATGGGTTGAGCAAAATTAATATGTATTTAATATAATTTAAAATTATTTTAGTCTGTATATGTTAATGTTTATATATCATTATAAAATAACAGGGCTATATAGTTTATGTTACTAGAATAATATCTTTATGAAATTGTATGTTTTAGCACTGTTATTCTAAATGACGGAGTCGAAGCTATTGATATGTATTTAAAATAGGCACCATTCGAAATTCTGAAATTCAAAATCTCAATATTATTAAATTCCGATACAATGAATTCCCGATATGAAAAATCCCGACAGAGAAATTGTCTGGAACGACAAAATCCGGAAAAGTCGAAATCCCGATTAAGCCTGATTGAGAAGAAAAATTTATTTTTGTTTTTGATTTTAAAAGAATTTTAAATAATATTTATTTTTCTATTGTTTTTCTATTTAGAAACGAAAAATTATATTTACTTACGAGTTCTAAAAATATTTTGTGACAAAAATGCAATTTTATTTAATTATTAATTTTATATTTGATTAATAGTTTAATACGTTAAATATTTCGTATATTGTGCGAAACTTTTATTTGATTGTGTTGCAATTGCATTAATAAATAATTTATTTATTTATNCTTTCCATTTAATTTTTGTTAAGTTTATTTTAGCATTTAATTTATTTGTAAAAATATATTTTAATCCCGATTTAAACTGATTGATTGACTGATTAGTTAACGCGAGTACTAACAAATTAAAACAATATGGCCGCAATTTCGTCCGTTAAGAGCGTGACTAACAAGTGGTCATGTGGATAAAACCTTTAAACACCGGTGACGGCAGATGGCCAAGCAGCTAAAGTGGCAGCCTACCTCTTTGGGGGACCCGAGATTGAATTCCGACGGGTCGAAAAATCCCAGGATTTTCCGGAGATTGGTCCGAAAGTCTGGATACGTCTGACTCCGCCCCTCACCATCCGGCCGCCCATAATGGACTGGCTAAAAAGGCCCTCTTAGTGCCCACAGACAGATAGAGTTAAAAATAAATAAAGAAACTAAAACACTAGTAGTCGAAAGTTCGCCCCTCATTAACGCGCTGGCCACATGTTTTTCGAGTTATTTTTCGAGTTTTTAACACCTAAATAACGGGTCATTTCCCAGAGAAAATCCTCCCCAGAAGGCATTCCATCCCCTCTCGCTAGATCATCCGCGAGTGCGGTAGCCATATATAAACAACATTTTCATAAAACATAATTATAATTTATTAAAAAAATATAATAAAGGATTTTTTTTCATTCCATAAACATCAATCTAATTTCATTAACGCGCTGTCATTACGTTATCTTTCTTTTTAGTAAAGTTATTTGAAAATTCTGATTTTAAAAATAATACGATTTCGATTAAAATTCAACTTTAAATTTTGCTTCTAATATTAACAAATAGTGTTTATTCTTAATATTCACTCGAAGAAAAATAATTTTTAAATTTTATTACCTTTTAAAAATTTTAATTAAGAAAGTGAGTACTGTATTTGAGTGGAGGGGAAAAATCCATTAGCAGATGCGAATGAAAGGGGATTTCGTATCTGTTCTAATCAATCTTTTCTTAAAGCAGCATCGCAAGAATTAAACTGTCAAGAACAGGAGCGAAACCTTCAAAAATATCCAGCTATTTTATCAGAATGCATCCCTACGATTGCTTTATTCCAAGCAAACAGAGACATCACGTCGCTATATTAAAAACATAATAAAAAAAACTGAAACAAATATTTCTAGAAAATAATAAAAAAAATCACTATTCGATACCCGAAAATCGGTTTAATTATATTTTTCTACATTATGATATTAAAATTTGAATTATGAATTATTAACTAGTTTTGATGCGATAAAAATGGAAATTTACAGCATTGAAAAGTATTCTCGCGATTAGTTTTTAGAAATTGTAATTTAGATAAGAAAATTCAATTAAATTTATATTCAAAATTTCAACTTGTTGAAATATTAAATCTTGGAAGTATAATCAATAGTAGTGCAATAGCTGTGAAAGCAGCATGTAAAATAATCATTTATTTACTTTATTTTCATTTCAGACAAAATCTCTTATGTCATTCTTTCGAAAATAAACAAGGAAGAATTATTAGCACATTCTATTTATTTCTGCAGCAATTTAATTATCTTCAAATAATAACAGCTAACTCATAGAAAGACATTGGCCATTAACTTTTTTAAAATATTTTCTAATGAAGAAATTAACAACCATTAAATGTTTTCGGAATAATTAAATAATTAATGGAATCAATAAATTATTTCGAGATTATATAATTAATCTATGTCAAATTTACTGATAGCTCTTAAGTGTATTAATTTACATGTTAAATTGTTACACGGTATCTTGCATCGGAAATGCATATATAGAGATAATTTTTGGAGGGGGATGGTCTTCACAATTTGAAATTGATCGATCTCACGATGAATGCTCGTATACACTCGCGCCATCTATCGTAGGATAAATGTACTATGCCAGAAACCTTNTTAGCGTAATTCTTTCCCGAAGAACTTAAAAAGCTAAAAAAAACTAAATTAAAATAAGAAATATAAAATTTTTTAAAACATTTGTATAAATAATTGCATGTGGTCTTTGATATGTAAATGTATTTTGTATCTAATAATACTGAAATTTTTATATTTTCGATAAAGCATTTTTTATGTTTTAAAAATTAAAAAAGTTTATCAGAAATTATACTTTAAATCTTTCAAAATATTTTTATTTGTTTACAAAGTAAAAAGAATTTACTGGTCTACAATTTTCAAATTGTAGCCCAATACATTTTTTCAATTTGTCTGTCTGTCCTTCCTTAATCTCGAGAACTGAATTAAGTAGATGAAAGTTGAGATTAGATATGGAAACAGTAGGGGCGGGAGACCCCGATTAATTATTTATAAACTTCTAATTTAATTTAAATATTATCTCCAGAACGGAGTTAGATGATCGGCATAACTCTATGTTGAACTACTAAAATCGATAGCGTATATTTTAAATTAAATAAATTTAAAAATATGATTGCAAATTTCGTTTGTTAATTGTTTAAAACATTTTCTGTTTTCCAATTTATATTTTAAAAGTTAAAAAATTCATTTTTATTTTTAATTAAATCATAAGTTAAAATTAAAAATATGAAATGTATAATTGTCGAAGTGAAATTCTACTATAAATATAAAAATTCTTGAGAAGTTTCGAATACGTATTTTGCATATAACTTATTACACATTAAAACCTTTATTTCATATTTGCATTATTCGTTTTTATAACTTTTTAATGTAATTTTATACCAAATTTTATTTTGTTACGTTAAATTTGAATATCTTTTTTCTACAATTCGC